AGTACTTTAAAGTGTATAAATAAGTTACCCGGGCAATTGATTTACATTAGCCAATCAAACGAATGTCTGACCATGACTATGTCCCCCATGCCGAACCAAGAATTTTAGGGTCTGAAGTGGTCTTTAGCCTGGGATTTTCGCCGTAAGTACGTGATTGATTTTCACATGTTAGTATGTAAGGACGTATTTACGCTTATAAGCATTTATGTATGTGCGTTCGTGCGTACATACGCACGTACGTACGTATGTACGCACATAAGTGCATATACATGAATAACGATAAACCTGAACACACAGCCATTCCTTTATCGGAAAATTTTTGAGCATTCATTTTTTATCCGATTGAACATTGTTTCGCTAAGTATTAAAAATTAGATAAAAGTATCCTTTATTATTATTAATAATTTTATACCTATTCCAGAGTATAATAAGCTTGAGACAAGAATAGATTACATTTTTAAGTACGAAATAGAATGGCATCTGCCACATCTTGTGATCCATTGACTCTTAATGGTGAACCTTACATTCAATGGATTTATACATTATCTGGAACTTGCGTATATGGAGAACAAGAAATGATTAGTATTTTATTCGGTAATACTTTGAAATTTAGAGATATGACCATTTCTTTAGTTCTGGTCTGCCTTTGTTTCGTTTTAGAAAACGATTTATTTAAGTGTTATTGTTATCGTTAGAAATATTTTAACTTTAAGCTACATGACGCTAAATAGGTTATTTATCTATACTTTTTTGGATAAATGCACAACTTCCGTAAGTTTATTCTTTATATTTTTTTATTTATATTTGAATTTGTAGATTTGAATTTATATATTTGAATTAATAATTAAAGTAGATGATTATAACTTGTGTTTTAGACAACTTTTGCAAAATTATCGAAATAAGTCCGTTGACGGACTTAGTTTACCATTTATGATGAATTGGTTGTTGGGAGATATAGCCAATTTAATTGGTTGTATTCTAACAAACCAATTACCATTCCAGGTATTGGACTAAATTTATTATTTTATTCGAATAATTTCTAAACAAATTCATATACATACATGTTATTTTGATTTAGATATATCTTGCCATGTATTTCTGCACCGTGGATCTTGCACTATTCTATCAATATTTTTATTATAAATGGTTCCGCCATTTAATGTCCTCAAATCTAATTGCAGGTGGTGTTACAATTAGATCTAGATCTGGTGGCTACACATTAAGAGATTCTATAAGAGATTCTTTAGAATTAAGACCAACCCCGAAACGAACGAGTGAGACACATCAAAGAGTGTAGGTTTTTTTTTTCTTTAGGTTCTAAGATTAGTATTAAAATTCTAATTATTCTTATTATTAAAATCAATAATAGATCGACAATGGTCTTTGCTATATTATTTTTCACTTTTTATTCAACCTCTACAATAACTTCATCAATCTCTATTACATCTCATTCAACACGTCTTTTTGAGCGAACACTGATCGCTAATGAAAGCGATATAGATTATATAATTCCATCAAAATCGTTCTTTGAATATCACGCCGAGACTATTGGAAGAATATTTGCATGGACTTGTACTGTGTTGTATTTAACAAGTCGAATGCCTCAGATATGGAAAAACGTTAGTTGATCTACTTTTATATGTCAAAATTTAATTCTTTTTACTTACATTGAATAATCTTGAAAATTTAAAAATTTCAGTACAAAAGAAAATCAGTTGAAGGACTTTCAATTTTTATGTTTATATTTGCCGCATTAGGGAACTTAACATATACAATCTCAATATTCTCGAATCCATTAGTGCGTACGAGCCCAATTTATTTAAAAGAAAGTATTCCTTATATCTTAGGATCTATAGGTACCTTGGTATTTGATCTAACTATATTTTTACAATGGTATTATTGGAAGAATCGTGAAGACTTTGAATTAAATAAAGAAGGTGTTGATGGTGTTGAATATAGTAGACTACCACTGGGTGATGGTGGGTTTAGAAATAGTGATGATGGAATTGATGAAATTTAAACTAGATTATAATAAGATTTGTATAAAGTTTGGCGGTTAGAATAGATGATATAAATTATATATTTGAAGGTGGTATTTGAAGGGGATGGTATATTAAGCTATTTAGAAATTTTAGTGCATAGTAAATTTTAAATTTTTGGATGTGATTTTATTTAGAATGTATTCAATAGACAATTGAAGCTTTAACATTCGAGTGATAATTATGTGGCAGTGACTTTCTTTCGTTCTTGATGTAATTTTCCCATTTTTCTAATACTGTAATAACCAGCTACAGGTGCTATAATAAATCCGAAACTACTATAACCACAAGATCACTTAAATAATCGGTATTTAAAATTGTGTCAATGTAAACAAAGGGCGTTCTCAATGAGCCAAAATGAGTCGGAGGTGTGCCGGGAATTAAATTTTAATTGGCGAAAATATTTTTAACCGATCAAACGTACGTGTCATTAAGATTAATAACGTACAGGACACGTAGTTTATTTAAGTCAAAGAAAATTTTCAATAGTTAAAAAATGATCAGCAAGTTTATTATTTGCAATGGTTTATTAAACTTTACAACTATCAAGCGTTTTCGTGTTTTTTATTATGATATTCGTTATCAACACATTAACGTAGTACGTTATATTATGATTTATTTTATAAACCATTTAGAATTTACTCGCATTGATTGAGGTAGTAATTGAGCATCACTACAATTATTAATAACAAATCACAGGAATAGTAATACTTGATCGTATTTCAACAATATCGTCATTTGCATTATTGAAATTTATCTAAAATTTAATGGATTGAGCGATTCATTATTTATCTAATGTCGTCGCCATTAGGTTTGATATCTGAAATTACGTTTATTATTTAAATATTCATCATAATGACAAACACATTTGGGCCGCTTAAAATATTTTCCGCTAAGTAAAATTTATTGCGCTTTTGACCCATCGATTAAGGCGTTTGAGAATGCCCAAATTTCAAATCTTCCAAGGTTAATTGCCTACTTTATTAATGCAGATTGGAAATACTTATCGTTTTACTTAGGTAATATTTTAGGTAATATTTACTTGTCGGTACTCTCTTTTTAATGTATTCTTTTATTTATTGCAATAAAATGCATCTATTCTACATATATATATATTTGCATGTTCCAAATTTCTCTATATCATTTATTATTTTGAATTAAGTACTTCTATCTTTTTTTCTTCGTGAAATAAATTAATAATCTATGTCCGCCATTGTCTGTTTCACTCCACATGATAACCTACCATTTCTAATAGACTATGACTTCGTTAGTAAAATTTTGAATGATCTCTGATAAAATTTATTAGTGCCGATAATCTATTCCCAAAATAATTTATTATACTAGCAGAGCCTCACTATTTATTCCATTTTTCGATCATTACTGTTAATAATAATAGTACATTTATTTACCTTAGAGATGTTCTGTTTATATGATACCTGAATTTTTTCGTACAGTATGTACGTACGCGTACGCGTACGTGTACGTACAATTGTTTCTAGCAATTTGATTGGCTGATCGAATTCATATTCAAGTGATCGGCAAAACAGTACGCGCTTCATATTTTAACTTGTATTATCGTTAAGCATGACTGAAATTCTACTTATACGTAACGTTACACAAACATTTTATATGTAATTTAGATATAGATCGATAGGAAAGGGAGATATGTGAAAAATATATTAAAATTGATTGGTTCCTCGTGAAACTTTGTATATTAACTCTTTGGTTGTTATACAAGTAGATTGTAAAGAATAATCTCTGTAATCCGAATGTTGAGTAACTTTTATTAGACAGGAGTTTTTGTTAATACGAAGTTAGCAAAGGTAGTATAAATGTGAATTAACTTTAACGTTCTGTCTTTAGAGCAACTTAAATCATTCAAAAAAAGTATTTTAGCTTGCAATTTGAAAGTTTATTGACCTTCGCTTATGCTATTTACATTATTACCAAAAACATATTTGGCTAATTTCTGTTTCTAACTTAGAAGAAACATCAAAATTCTTCTCAATTTCCTCAGAACTTTCCTCTTCCTCCTCCTCCTCACTTTCATTATCATCAAGATCTTCAGGCGTAAGTACATCTGGACCTTTTTCAATCCGTTTTAAAAATGAGTTGACATTTTCAAAAATCCCTTTCTTATAAAATTCCTCACAATAAACGCACTTTCCATTATAACACACAAAATGATAACCGTGACCACAAATTAAGGCCATTCCATTATTTTCACCCAGGGGAGACTTGCAGTAATAACATAATCCAGGCTTTGGTGGGTATGATGTACTATATGCTGTGGGTAAGCGTCGTAAGTCTATGTCTTCATCTAAGGTTGCAAGATGATACATTTCTGGGGGTTTTTTTTTTTTTTTCCATCAAACTTGGGAATACTTTTTCCATTATTGTAAAATAAATCTTGGAAATATTGTAATAAAAAAAGGCCAGTTTTCTTATCCAAAAAATCAAGGGTCGGGTTATTGTATGGGTATTGTCATTTTTTATGATAGTTGTCCTTGAATACTGAGTTATGATCCACTTAGCAAAGAAAAATAAATAAATAAATAAATAAAT